TCCTGCTCCTGAGGAGCTTTCTGGAAAGTTCATGTTAGCTTTACTGTTTGGTATGGCAGTGGTCAACATGCTTCCTTCATATCTTCAAAAATTTAACTATTTAAAAACAGGATATGAGTGGTACTGAAATGGTTAAGGCAATTTCAGAAAGTAAAATGTACATGCCATACTACTGGTGATATGAACAGCATACAGGCAGGGGATATTGTCATTAGTAGGACTGTAGTAAGTCTGAATAGGAACAGTTGAGAGTTCATTGAAACCAGGGGATATTGTCATTAGTAGGACTATAGTAAGTCTGCATAGGAACAGTTATTTAATAAATGAGAGTTCATTGAAATGTTTGTACACGACCTCAAAGAATCTAAATTATAAAGATGAAGAGGCATTTGAGCACAGCTGAATTTCCATCAGTTATGACTGCAGATACGCAGACTGAAGACTACACACAGTTCTGCAAATTAAAAAAAAAAAAAGAAAGAGCAGATGTATGTAGGAGAACAAGCACTGTGTATTATGATTAGAAAGTCTGGAAAGGAAGAACTTGGATAAAACAGAATCTGTGTGCATAAGGAAAAAAGCCATATTTGGATAAAAACAGTAAGAGAGACTGTATTGACATAGTCTTACTTCACACTGCCATGGCAAGATCTGCATATTTAGTATGTTAGCAGAGAGATATTTAGTAGGTTAGCAGGGACAGAAATATTACTAGGTACAAAGCAACATTGGTAATAATGTAAGAAACTAATTATTCTGGAGGGTGATCAGTAACAAGGGCACCTACTCCTCTAATGGTTGCCAATGCAACTGGTGACCATTCTGTTTTAGACTTTCTCTCTTAACTGGCAAAGATAGCTGTGAACTGAGCGACCTTGACTGGTACAGTGTACACTAAACTGGAAGGATACTTTACAATTTATACACTAAACTGGAAGGATACTTTACGTATCCTTTTAACGTTTTTAACGTTTTTAACGTTAAAACTCAAAAAGCGTTTTTAACGCTTTTAACGTTCAAATAGCCAACTGTCATAAAAATATTACTTCCTAGCATAGTAACAACTTATTAGTAATTGGTTACCACTAACACCTGGTTACTTGGAGGTCTTAAATGTCGATAGAGCTTACAACTCAAACGCACAGAATGATTTTTTGAATGTATTTCCCAAACAAAGAAGATAAATAGGGAAGAACTTGAGGTGAAATTTGCTGAGTAGCCATCTCATTAAAAAAAATAATTGGCAGTGAGCTTATTAAAGAAATAGAAAGCAGGACTGAGCAGAGCACAGTCATAGTTTGCTTTCCTTTCCTAGATACATTAATCTGCATATACCTAGAAAAAAATGCCATGCGAAGAGCAGTCAGTTTAAAAGAAAAAAACACCACTGGTACTGATTTGCCACAAATAAAGTTGTGTTCTCATCCCAGAAATTTCATCCTCTTGTCTTCTTGCAGCTTGAGAGTGCAATCACCTTTGAAAAACTCATGGAATGGACCAGTTCTAATATGATGGAAGAGAAGAAAATTAAAGTGTATCTGCCCCGCATGAAGATGGAGGAAAAATACAACTTCACATCTGTCTTAATGGCCTTGGGCATGACCGACCTGTTCAGCTCATCAGCCAATCTCTCCGGCATCTCTTCAGCTGACAGCCTGAAGATGTCTGAAGTTGTCCATGAGGCATTTGTGGAAATCTATGAAGCAGGCAGTGAGGTGGTAGGCTCAACAGGATCCGGGATGGAGGCTGCAAGTGTGTCTGAAGAGTTTAGGGCTGACCATCCTTTCCTCTTTTTGATCAAGCACAACCCAACCAACAGCATCCTCTTCTTTGGCAGATGCTTTTCCCCTTAAAGACAAGAAAGCTGAAGGAGTTTCCATCCCTCATTGCAAGACCCAAAGCGCTGCAGTATCAAGGGTAAAAAGAAAGGCATACATCTTTCATCTGTATTTTCTAAATCCTGAAGGATTTCTTTAAAAAAAAAAAGGTCAAAGCAGAGAAATTATGCCATGAAAGCCAGGACCCTTCCTTTCTGCATAGGGTAATATTATTTACTCATAGATGAAGGGTTAAGGGAATGAAAATCAGACCCAAAGAAAGCATGAGCATGATCAGAGACGTTCCTGGTGCAAGTTAACAGTAATACTGCTGAATGATCACACTGAAAAATCACAACCCCATTTATCAGCAAAAGTTTTAAGGAAAAAAATGCAGACTTCCCATTAAATCAGGTTTCTCCATGACCAAGCTTCCTGATGACTCCTCTGGAACTGGTCACTTGAAAGCTCCTACATTAAATTCTGAACTGTCACCAATCCTTCCTTCTCTGACAAGGCAATTGCTTTTTCTTTGTGCTCCTGATACTGTAAGGCTTTTTCTCACCTTCTAAAGATGCATTATAGAAATCTTATAATTCATATTTCTCCTTAAATATTTCTGGCTCAATCGTCATGACCAGATATGGCATGTTACTATTCAAATTGTTTTCCATTTATCTGTATGTAATGGGTCTTGTGGATGTACACTTTTGCTCCTTTAATCATAATAAAAACATGTTTAAGCAAATGCATTTCATTTGCACTATTTCAAGTGGACCAGTGATGGGGTAATCCTGGTTATACATACAGACTGAGGGACAGGAGGCTGGGGAGCAGCCCCATAGAAAGAGATCTGGAGGTCTGAGTTGGTGACAACTCAAATATGAGTCAACGGTGTTTGCTGGCAGCCAAAAGTGCCAACCATGTCCCATTGTGTACCAAGCACAACATAGCCAGCTGGTCGAGGGAGGTGATTGCCCCACTACACACTGCACTGGTGCAGCCCCACCTCGAGCACTGTGTGCAGTTTTGGGCACCTCAGTATAAGAAGGACATCAAACTGTGAAAGTGTGTCCAGAGGAGGGTGGCCAAGAGGGTGAAAGGGGCAAGTGTTCTGAAAAGTGTCTGAGGTCAGTGATTGCCCCACTACACACTGCACTGGTGCAGCCCCACCTCGAGCACTGTGTGCAGTTTTGGGCACCTCAATATAAGAAGGACATCAAACTGTGAAAGTGTGTCCAGAGGAGGGTGGCCAAGAGGGTGAAAGGGGCAAGTGTTCTGAAAAGTGTCTGAGGTCACTTGGTTTGTTCAGCTTGGAGAAGGCTGAGGGGTGACCTCACCACAGACTACAACTTTTTCAAGGGGGAGGTGCTGATCTCCTCTCTCTGGTGATCAGTGGTGGGACACGAGGAAATGGAATGAAACTGCAACAGGGGAAGTTCGGACCAGACATTAGGAAGAAGTTCCTCACTGAGAGGGTGTTTGGTCACTGGAACAGGTCTCCCAGGAAAGAGGTCACAGCAGCAAGCCTGTCAGAGTTCAAGGAGCATCTGGATGATGCTCTTAGACATATGGTTTAGTTTCAGGTAGTCCTGTGAGGATCAGGGAGTTGGACTCGGTGATACTTATGGGTCCCTTCCAACCTGAGATATTCTATTGAGATGAGGAATGAAAGTCCGTTCTATCTCTGGGCTAAGATACAATATTGAGACCAATTTTATGCCATGAAGGGACCAGTATGACCCATAATCCCTCATGCATGCCTTTCAAACTAGCCAGATACACTGCTTTCAGCAAAAACCATGATTCATCCAGTCTCTCCGAAACAGGAGTTGATAAGTGTTTGGGAAGGCAGCTGGATACGTGAAGAATGTGCATCCCACAGGGCCAACAACACTGCCTCAGAGGACACATGGGAATGTGGAATGGGAAGTAGTCTTCTAGTTATCTTTGTGTTGTATTTATAAAGTTTTATAGGCTCTTATTTTGTAACTAAAGAGGATACGCATACTGAAAGAAGCAATGCCAACGGCAAGTTGTAGTTTCTCTCCAGAATGAATTATTCTTCCCTTTGTCACTGAAACAAGAGAGCAAAGAGATCTGTGAGGAACTGTCACAGGGAAGTGCCAGAAGAGTGAAAGAGAAGTGTTTTGGGTGGGGTTGAAGACCCTGCAAGAAAGTGCCGTTACTTCCCGACTCCAGTATGTTCAGCGTGGTGCCAGTGCTGGGTGGTCTGTGGTGGCAAGTTCTTTCAGTTCCACCACATAGCATTTTGTTTGTTCTCCTTGCTTTGACCACTCCTCACCCCCTCCCGCTACTTAGGCAGCACCTAGGGGTATAACATGCTGGTAGCGAACACGTTCTTGCACAACAAGGAAGATAACATGACACCACCTTCACTGGTGTATAAATAGTTCAAATATTTTCTTTCACTTTCCTGTATCTTAGTCAATTGCTGGTCAGGAGATAACAAATGGGGAAATTTATTGCGAGGGCGATAACAATGTGTATACTGTTGTCCTGGAGTTCTGTTAATCTGGTCATGGAAACAGGGCATGTAAAATCCTCAGGACACTTAATACTCATCAGATTTGTTCTAAAACTGCACTATTTCTAGG